TTATTTATGTCTTTTTTAGCTGGTCTCCCTATGATATTAACAATTCTATTATACAAGGCTCTAGTCGAGTAATATAGTTAAAGGATGAAACAAACTAAAACTGAACTTTGATTGTGTTTGTTTGAAGAATTCAAGGCTCATTGAAAACAGAGCCGTTAGAATGAAACAAACTGATTGAACGCTGCTTTCTTCCTGGCTGACTAATCATCAATCTAACTAATACATTACACTTCAAATACAGGACAAGCCTCCTGGCAGTCTGGAGAACTAGAGCCCTGAAGATTTATTCGCAYAATCAATATTTAAAATCCACAGCTGCTTTTAAATATTAGGGTTAAAAAAGCTAATCTGCTAGCCTGCCCTTTTTTTTTTATCACACTGACTGAGAGTCATTAGTGTTATCATCCCGTCTTTGTATTCAAGTCAAAACAGACAAAAGAGTGTAATTATTACTTCTTTTTTTTTAGGTTAAGTGCTTGTTATTTTCCATCTGAGATGAGCTTCTGCAGCGGCGGGAGGTTGAAGGGTGAATTAAGGTGAGAGGAGCYGACACAAAGGGAGTGCAGCGGTCGCTGTAGGTGAGGAGAAAAAAACATGTTGTTTTGTGCAATTTGGCTGAAACTAAGAAGAGAAGGTCACTGTGCAGAAATGTTTGTTGATGCATCCTGTTTGAACTACTGACTGAGTGAGACAGAAGGTCAGGCCGTCCGAAGCCTGGCGCACACAGCCCGGCAACTGATACGTCAGCGGGTCCGTTGCTGTGGTGACGGGAAGCACGAACGACCCGATTCACATCCACGCCACAGCGAGACGCCCGGAAGTGTTCATGAATTTTTTTTTTCACGTTTTAATATTTGACGAAGTAACATTTAAGCTGACTGCACGTATCAAACAGGGCAACATCAAAATACGTACATTTATCGTTGTAGTTCATTTCTTTGGGGTGCCAAGTGTAAAATAAAATGTTAAAAAGTATCACTAATATCGCTCGTCTTTCTCGTTTTCTTCAAAATCCTTGTCGAGGATTCACTGAAAACACWTCTCTGAAAAACGTTGCCMTTATTGTCCCAGAAGTTTCACAACTAAGTGAAAGTTTTAGCTTTTTTGAAAGGAAGCCACTCGCTTTCGTCGACAAAAGCAACCTTCAAAGTAAAAACACGCGACCGTTTAACGCAATGGTTTCGTGGTTTGGTCCTGATGACGTGCAATGTGACTACTGCGTACGTTGCAATGATGATGCTCAAACAGCGGCGGTTCTAGGGGAGGGGCCACAGGGGCGTTGGCCCGAGCTGAAATCTGATTGGCCCCCTGAAATGCCCCTGTCCTGTCGCTCATCTGTCCGATGATGGTGAATGCAGTTCCATGTTCAAACACTAGTTGCACTAATGAGTCAAATAGTAAAGTCCAGAATGAATCAAGCTGAC